ACAAAGAATTATCAATAAAGAACATTTTTATTAGAAGAACATTATTTAATAATAAGAATAAATGAACATACATACATAAAAAAACCAATGCACTCAAACATTACTAATCAGCCTTCGGGGATCGCAGGTGAGAAAATATTACATAATATTTTAGTAATTTTTAAACGGTGTGATTTTTAAATGGAAGCATATAACATAAAACTAAATATAGAATCAACTTGACAAATCAAATGTTCATTCTAATGGGTCAGAAAACGTTATGAGATATATTAAAATGTAATATTGAATAAATGCAAACGATGTGGCATTTTATACAGTGTTCAAAAAAGGTGAGACATATTTTACCTACTGATTCCTTTGGGTCAAAATAACGAGAAAATCAAGAATAAATTTTTTTCCAAAACCGCTTCGTGAACCAGATATCCACCATTTTGTATTTTTTACATAAACATTTTTATCATTTAATATATTCAACCGATCTTTATGAAACTTGGTATGTATGTTAAGGTAGAAGAGACCCATGTTAAAAAAAGTTCATCTCAATTCAACCTAAAATTTCAAAATGGCGGCCATTTAAAATGTTTAAACTATAATTACTCGAAATTGGCTGGTTTATGAAAAAATTTCAAAACACTTTTATTTAGCATTTTTAATTATCTATCAAACAATATCATATTCAAAAAGATCACATAATAAATAGCTGAAATATGACGAATTGTAGTTGTAAAATGTGGTAGAATAAGGCAGAAGCTTGACAGGTTTGACCCATTTTACAACAGAAAATCTAAATATTTAAGCTATTTCACATTCGATCTTTTTGAACTTGGTAGGCTAATCTGTAAAATTGAAATTCGCTGAGTCACCAAGTTGTGAATTATCCGATTTTGTTGAAACAAAAATTAAATATAAGCTGGTTTAAACACATTTTACGTGGTAACAAAACAATGAAAATATTACCGTTTACCAGCAACATTTATATAGTTGAAAAATCCTAAAAAGTACCGATTTTTAAGAAACTCTGCACCAACACTGAAGTTTAAAATTTAATTGTAAACAAACCACTGAACGAATCTTTCTGAAATTTGTATGGCTTATTGGTAGGTTTATTGTTAACCTTTCCATGCATTTAAAAATTTTTACTCATAATAGTTTTTATACTGCTGTTATTTTTAAATCGTATGCTAAAATCATTAATAAGATGCTAAAATTTTCGTTCAAAATACCATCGTGTTTGTAGTGACACAAGAAATAACACCAATATTACAGATTTATAAAAATGAATTTATGAAATGATGTAATAATATTTTACAGGGAATAATTCGTTGTACAAGAAATCATTCATGGATATAGGGAATAATTAAGATTCTATAACCATTGCCGTATCAACCTAGGCCCTTATCCTGAGTTTTATGAGGTTTATTTTTTTATTAATTTTTGGGTAAACAGTAATATCATTGACTTTACACCTTTTAATCCCCCTGCCGCAGAAAATCTATAGATTAAGCGAATTTCCATTTGCCTGATTATAATTTCACTAAAATATGCTTTCACAATTTTTACAAGATTTTACAAATTATCATACGCTTACAAAACTTACATAAAAATACACAAATTTGCAAATCTCACAGGAAAAATAATTGATTTTAACATTCAAAGTCATAACAAAATAGTATCAATTTTATAGGTCACGTTATTCCCAGTTCCATATATTTTATACAGTTGTATACATAGATTGCAGAATTAATTGGCAAAAAGGTAATCCAAAATTTAATACTGTAGGTTATTGCGGATCAGCGGTAAATGACTTTTAATGATATTGTTATGGAGAGCATTTTACAATAGATCTAAATGTGTGTTAAAACTTTGGAAATTTCACAATTTTTTTAACGCCGTCACAAGATAGGGACCTTTAATTTGATCTCTCTCCAGTCCCCGTCGTTCTACGACTTCACAGTCGCCCAAAATTTTAACGTAAAGATTCACCTTACGAAATTAAATATGTGGATAGTTTGACTAAGTTACTAAACATAAATTAGTATATAAAAATGAAAAATGGTGGATGCCTACGTTGGTAGGCTTTTATAACTTACATTCTCATTAACTTGGAAGTTTTATTTTGACCCATGGAACAATACCTAGAAGTATTCGTCACCAATTCTGAAAATGAAAGTCTGTACGTTGTCACCAACATACGTACACACTCGAAATCAACACGACACACCGGTCAAAACCAACAAAGACGTGCACAACCGTTACGACCGTCGCCGTGCTCAAACATTTGCGAACTGAAGTTTGGCAACAATACAGCTTTTAACATTTTGGCGTCAAACTAAGGGATGAAGGAGATGGCACAAAAACTTTATGACACGTCACTCACAGGTGCCCAACACCGTCAGGTGACAGACTAATTAAACATCTGCCTATTTAGTCCCCTAGTGCAAATCTGTGGTTTTGACTTATTATAGCTATTTCTCAAGTTCCTCACATAAAAATAAGTATCATAATTTTACTCTGTTGCAATTAATTAGAAATGGCGTCCAAACAAATATTTGAAACACTTGAAACCCATCTTTGATGAAGATTCATTTATACATAAATCATATATTTCAAGGTAATATTAATATTTTACGGTCATATAAAACAAAAAAATGTATATTTTTATGATTTTGCTGATGCACCTTAGCTAAAATATTTACATAGCCAGATCTATGTTACTCGACGTTGAGCCCAGTGTGGATGAGATATTGGAAGTGATGAGTTCAGTTTTATTTACATCACTTCCCCCATCATCGGGCCCGGGCGACTGCCGGCCGAGCTCGTCTCTCATTGTAGTGTGCTAGTAGCTTTCACATTCTCCGCGCGGGGGCAGTACCAGACAGAACACATGTTTCCGTTATACAACGATAGGTTGCGTTGCTACCGCACCGCTATCTGGTTATCTACTAAATGCATTACATGTTCAATCTAGTAGAGGTGTATAGTCAATGATATCGCCAATATCGATAGCCCCCATGTTTTTGTTGTAGTCCACCACTGACAAGGGCTTTTTGATTTCCTCCCCAGTTTCCCAGTTGTTTTTCCCTATGCTAATCATGCCGCTGGTATGCATCGTACATAGCATCCTAACCTCTCTTTTATCTTGTTAACGTAGGTACATCATATTTTCTGTACAATGTACATCTGTTTTACCTACATCTAAGGGGGATAGTTTTTTTGGTAAACCCTGTTGATTGGGATTGACTGTACCACACATGTTTGTGTTGCGCTTCATCAGTTCCTGAGCTAGTGACGGTGAAACGTACCAATTATCTAAAAACAATTTATGCCCCTTATCGAAGTAGGGTTCTGTTAGTGTTAGCACCACTTGCCCAGTCATGCCTACTTTTTCTTTTAATTCTGCAAACTCAAGTTCCGATTCTGATCCTGCGAGGAAGCAGAGAATCTCATCCTTGTCAACAGGTTTCCATGTACTTAGCTCGTCAACAGAAGCATAATTAGGGAGTTTGGTAATTACATCTGTAAAATAAGAATTTGTTTCTGATACTGTTAATACTGTTCTATGAAATGGCGACCATACAAAGTAGGTATTTTAAGCCAAGTATGAATGGAGATGAGTGTAGGATGAGTGGCACGATCTTGTAGTCTTGTTAGTGTATCTAAGGCCGACATTCCTTAGACACAACTGTTAATTAATAGCCCCTACAGCTAATAGCAACTAAGGGACCTACAGTTTATAGTGGAATCTGAACCACATTTTTGCTTTGGTAATTACGAATTGGTCTAATTATCAGGACAGTACTGCGGATAGTCGTAGTACTCACCCGTGCGGATGTTAATCCACACCAGGGAGTATCGCATCCACAGTGCATGCCTATAAATATCCACAATTCGTGACCTCCTAGTAGCTGGATTACAGGACGACGCCACCCGTCCCAGTCTATAAAATATGAGTTATCAGTTCCTAAGCATGTAGTTGTCATCATGTAGGCCTAAATCGTAATCATTGTTACTTACATTAAATACACTATTTACATAATTTGGGTCAAAACAACTCGGGCCAGGAATGGGATCGTCGTAGAGGTTAGTTGAACTCGATGCATCTCCTGCAGGTCCAGGAACACTTGTTGCCGTAGATTGTTGATGAGAGTAAATAAATCCCTCTTCACTGTCACTTTCACCGTCCGATAAATCACTAAAATCATCTTGAGACAAATATTCTGATGTTTCGTTGTCCCGAAGTTTGTTAGATTGCGAATCCATTACACAATGTTTACCAAAACACAAAAAAAACTAACAACTCGCGTACGTATTACAGTACTTGAGTAAAGTGACAGCTGGGAGCGGAACGAAAACGATTCAGAACTAGCAGTGATGCAATAGAACAAAACAAAATATCCCATGATTCCCCTGAACAGATCAATACTAAACACAACGTATTAGTGTAGCAGCTGACAGCAAAAAAGAGGACAAAAATAACAAGTTGACGTCAGCTCGCATATGTGCGGGCGTGGACCGCTGGTGCGACAGTCGTCTGCTCGCATATATGCGAACGTGGACACCAAGAGGTTAATTGTGCTCTAAATTGTAATTTTTGTAAACGTTTATACCACATGTTACAGTATAGTCCGTTACCACATATTGTCCAGTTGTGTGCGTTTGCTTTTCTATTAGATAATGAGTTTTAGGGGACATCATTTTAACCATAAAGCCCACTATACGGGCTGGCCTCGGTCCTGAGAAGTCCAAATAATAGGTAATCTACTGTATAGCAACAATTGGTAGCAACATTTCTGCTGGCGATGACGGCTAGACAGTCATTGAGCCAGGCTAACTTGTCTGTACATCAAAATGTGTGCAACCAGCTTAAAAATGCCTAATGGAGTCAGACGGAAACTTTCCTTGATTTCTGAATAGCCCTTTCATGTATAATAAATTGCAAACTTAGTTATTTCTCCTGATCCTTCTCACATACAGAGTAAATCATGATATACCATCCCCACCTGGAAGCTGTCTGTTCGCTGCCATGCTGGAAGCATGTCCTGCTCCTCATTGAAGATCCTCCGAGATATCCTGAGGTGTTTAGCTAGGCAGTGTGAGTGGAAGTAGTGATAACAAGGGGTCTTGGTGAAGTGATCTCCCTGACGGAATCCGTACAAACAGATGCAGCACTGGCAGCATGGCACGTTACTGGTTGTTAGCTGCTCCTTTACCAGCTGACAATCAACATTTAATATTTAGACAAAAATTATTAAAAATAAAAACCAAAAATAGTTTAGTTCACAAATCGGCTTTACCTGAATGGGAAAGAATCCACCATGGCTCAAGAAAAATATTGAACTAGGTACTTTACACACAAGATTGGTGATTAAAACATTTTAATGCATTTTCAACCAAGGATGGTTTGAGTAAGGGGAAAGGGGGTCCAGTGGTTTAAGGTCAAGATATCTGTTGGCAAATTCTACGTACAAAAAACTAAAAATCTTAAACACACTCGAAACTCACATTTATAATCTCGTAAATGACAGGTTGACTGATGAAGTCCTCACATTTTTCCCTTATCTGGGCCTCAATTGCAGTGAGTACGGAGTCGTCAAGACCCCGTGGGTTGCGCAATGTGACAGTCGGACTGACATCAGGGTAGCGTGATGGCAATGTTACAGAGAGATCTACCCGAACATACTGTTGTTGTGTGTCCAACGCTGTCCAAGGGTAAACTGTAGTCTCTACTGCTACAGCTGTACCTCTGGAAGAGAACAAAGCTAGTGAGGAAATTGACTTGTCATTAAATCCTAGGCCATTGAAGGGCAATAAAGCACATAAAGCCCTGTAGTTGTGTGGAGGCTCACTTAAATAACAAAAAGAATGAACTAATGATAAAATATTGTAAGTATAATATAATAATAATAAAATTCTGTACAAAACTCTGAAAAAAATAGGTAAAAATTGTTCTGTTGGCAAAGTAAAATTTAACATTAAGTTGTTGCGTGTTCGGTCAATACTAGCTATAGTTTCCCAGCTATAACTTTGGCTACTAAAAATCATTAGATAATGAAATAAAAAAGATATTTTTATTATTTGTCACACAAAATTTAATTGAGGAAGTAATTAGCCCGGAAGAGGTAGATTCGGGGAAAATACCACTATCTATTCCCTGAATTGAAATTGGACAAAGTGAAGTTTTTTTCTTATATGAGAATGGAGTTAACCACGTTTAATTACATCCTCAAGAAAATTGAAGTGTTTTAGAGAAGTTTTGGGGGAATAGCATAAGCAACCATCCATGCACCAGAACAAATTTTGGACCAATAATAAAACCTAAAATATACTCAAAGGGAGTTTTAAACACCCTATGTAGCTGATTAATTATGATGCAAATAATATTGTGAGATATATGCAAATGTTTTAATTTTCTGGGTAAATAAAGTAAAAGTATAAGTTTCATCATAGTTAAAACATACTCCCTAAGTAGATTTGTCATCCTTATGTAACAGCTGAAGCCAATTTTATTGTTAGTTCTGTACGTCCAACTGTAGAGGTTGTGTTTTGTTTACAATTTGTTTCTTTTAATTTCAGTAATTTAAAACCTCATTTAACCAAATAAAACGGTATAATCATAAACAATAACTGGTCTCCTAGTTATATAACCAAAGAGTAAACCACAAATCATGAAAATAACCTTAAAATAATAGAAACAAAATTTTGTCTGCCCCAGCGATCGGTGTGAACGTACATGAACTAGACAAAAAAAACTAGCTTCAAAATGTACAATGGGATGAGGAGTCTACTTGTGTTGCTTAGTCTATGGTTTCATCTATAAAAAATCCAACCAGGAAGATCTAAATACTTGAGCTATCAACTCATCGACATCCATATTGCACTGCTAGTAGTTTGTAACTGACTGGTTTGGTCAACAAGCGCCGGAAAACAAGTAAACGTTCTTGGGTGCTTGTCAGAACTTGTAACAAGCGCTTGCTAGCCGGCACAAGCTTTGTCTGTGAACGCACGTCGCACACGCTTGATACTATGTTGACTTTAATCATGCCGGTTCGAGCTTTCAAGCGCTTGCCAACAAGCGCTTGTAACCAGCTTTCTTTGTGAACGCACCCTTAGATTAATATTTTTGAAATCCGCATAAAATTTAAAATATTTATAGGCCTAAAAATTTTATCATTTTATTATATCATTTTATCAAAACTAAACTTTTCTGAGTTTTTAGCGAATTTCCCATATAGGGAATAAACTATTACCGTAGTACTCATGGTAAGACCTGGACCCGGGAACGATTTACTTTTTGGTTTTAAGGTCCCCAGAGGCCAAAAACACCATCCGTTCAATTTTTGGGTACTAAGTTTATTAATGTTTAATCTTTATTTATATATAGTAGCCCTATTTTTCATATATATATATATATGTGTGTGTGTGTGTGTCCGTTAGCACGATAAACTCAAGCAAAAATGATCCGATTCTGATGAAATCTGCATTTATTCAAACGAGTTAGCGAACCAGCAATGATCGGACTATGGGAACGGGGACTTATGGGGAGTTTTATGGGGTAAAAATAGGTTTTTCTCATTTTTTACACTAAAAACACAACATTTTACAACTTCTTTCCAAACCATTTCGTAGAGCTTAAAAGAAAACAAATAATTTAGTATGATGAAGCGTTATTATGTGCCTAACGGTTACAACAAAAATTCCAAAAAAATTTTAAATTTAACATTCCCATGTTATTTTTATGGACAATAAGTCAACTATTGTAGTTTTCATGGTGTTCTGTATGTAATTAGAACAAATAATAAATGTATTTATCAAAGTACAATTTTAACCAACTTTATTCAACACAAATTAAAAACAAAGTGAACAAGTAAACATTATAACCAGCTGATAATAGTTATAAAATAAATAAGCAATAAGTAAAGATAGACATTTAGGATGTAACACCTCCCCTTCTTAGTGAGTTTCATAAGTTAAGTCTATCGACGGGTTTGTGTGTCCGTTTTGATCGTCTCACTGTCATAGCGGAAGCTGGTGCCACTGGAACATCTGATATGTTGTTACTGGTCTCTGGATCATCTGGTATGTTGTGATCATTGGCCTCTGGATCAATGTTGTGATAATTTGTTACGTGGTTTTCGGTTGGTTCCTCTACGACTTCTCCAAAATTTGTTGGTATGAATACTTGATTCTGCTCATTCCTTAATGAAAACTCACACAAGTCCTGCCCTGAGCGTCTAATTTGGTCTTGATGTCGTCTGATTGAGCCACTGCTTGTGGTTATTTCATAATTTCTTGGTCCTTCTTTTTTGTTGATCTTTCCAAACCCCCATTTGTTGCAGGTTCCATAGAGGCGGTAGGCGACAGGGTCTTGAGCTTTAAAGGACCTTTGCCTGTCACGGTCTTGAGCTTTAAAGGACTTTTGTCTGTCACGGTCTTCAGCTTTAAAGGACTTTTGCCTGTCACAGTCTGAGTCAAACTTTCGGTTCATTTTTGTGACAAATCAGGATACAATAAGTCAAGTCTTGATCAAATTTGATGTCCAATGAAGAGATGTGAAGGAGATTGTCCTGTAGTACTATGTGGAGCTCTTCGATAGTCCATTAAATATCCCTGCAATTTTAATTCGATAGAGCCTTCCTCAAAGTGCATAGCTCTGATGGTATCTTTCAAGTCTTGTACATAGCGTTCTACTTGACCATTAGTAGCAGGATGGTAAGGTGCTGATCTCTTGTGTCTAATTCCGTTTGATTTAAGAAATTTTTCAAACTCTAATGAAACAAATTGCCTTCCGTTGTCTGACACTAATATGTTAGGGATTCCAAAGGAGCCGAATAATTTACGCAAAGCCTCAATGGTTTTATGTGAATTTATAGTTGTAAGTGTTTCAATTTCTGGCCATTTACTGTAGGCATCCACAATTAGGAGAAAATAATGACCATAAAATGGTCCAGCAAAATCAACATGAATTCTTTGCATAGGCCTTGAAGGATATTCCCAATGGTGAACTGGTGCTTTGGGTGATTCATGCTGTACTCGTTGACATCCCAAATAATTTAAGGTCATATTCTCAATGTCTGTATCAATTTTAGGCCACCTAACATACAAACGAGCTAGTCCCTTCATGCGAACTATACCCACATGAGCTTCATGAAGTTCTTTCAAAATTCTTGCACAAAGTTGTTTGGGAATCACCACACGATTCCCTTTTTTAATAAGGATCCAAGCTGAATTGACCATTCTTGCTCGTTAGAAGACATCAGGTGATGGATTGGCTCCCCTCTGATTAGTGATTGATAAATATCTCTAAGATCTGGATCAGATTGTGTATTTTTTGCTATTTCTTCAGCTGTGACAGGTAAAGTATAGATTTGTTCTATTTCATGAACATCGGCTGAGTCAATAATACCAGGGGTTTGTGGTCTGTAACTAGGGTGAAATGACGTCCATAAAGGTATGGGTAGAAGTGTTTGATTCCAAAATAAATTGCCAGGACTTCTTTTTGTATGACACTGTACTGTTTTTGTGTTTGTGATAGTGTTTTGGAAGCAAATGCAACAGGTCTTTCGTTTCCATCCGGAAGCACATGAGAAAGAATTGCCGAAATTCCAGATTGGCTAGCATCTGTTGCTAGAATGAGTGGTAAGTGTGGGTCAAAATGGCATAGTATATTCTCTGACATCATTTCCTCTTTCACCAATTGAAAATCATGTTCACATTCTTCAGTCCAATTAAAAAGTACAGTACCTGGGGACCGAGCTTTGCTCGAGAAACTAAACATTAAAGAATAAATAATAATGAATTTAAACTTTAAAATACCTTATGTTACACGCTTTCATGGAACAAATTGTCCTAATAACAACACCGTTATGGTGTATATGGCATAATTAATGAAAATATTGATTGACATCAAATCAAGAGTTAAGTATTTATTTTATCTATACAAAAGACACTTTAGGATTGGATAATGAGTAGTTTTAACCTTGAAGAATCTTTTGCAGCCCTTGATTGGGGTTTCCATTGACAAATATTTCCTGGATATTTAGTTTTTGTTTTGCTTGGTTTAGTTGTATTACTTAGGCCAGGGCCGGTTCTAGGAATTTTTCAGAGTTAAGCGAACACCCGAATCAGCGCCACTTAGAATCCCCCCCCCCAAACCCATGAACATAACTTAACCGTATTTGTGAATTTTTTCCCAATAATTTTGGGAAGAATTTTTTTTATAAGTTTAGGTAGAAGAATACTAACTTGCAATAAAAGGCTGTTTATTATTCGCAGAAATGTGACATTTATACACTTTTACTCATCATATAAACTATAGCAAAACCAAGGACACACTAAAAAAACAGGCCGTTATGTAATGCTCGTCAAGCATGACGTCACGATAGAAGACGGCAATGACGTAATGTTTGCCGTTTGTGATCAGCTGCTTGTTTTAATCTTTCCTTGGAAAATAAATAAATAAATACCTACGTCATTGCTGTCTTCTATCGTGACTTCTTTGGGCTGACTGGACTCGCCACCTTCATAATAAACTACAAGTTACATAGATTTGCATTGGGCGATCATCTGATTTACTAATAATATTAGTTTGTACTTTATTATGAAATGGGGAAGACTACCTCCGGTACCGCCTCATCATTTACGACACTACAGAAGGCTCCAGGACGATGGATGTAACTTCTGGTGCTGCTCAAGGATCCATACTGGGCCCGGACCTCTGGAACGTCGCCTACGACAGCCTCTTGA